CTTTCTAAATTTTAACGCGTCTTAGGGCCGTAGTGCGGTAGTGACACTTTTCCGGACATGGGTCCCTATACTCAAATGTTTTCTACTGTTGCACTGAATAACCCCTAGAAGTTTGATCCCATAGTTCTGAAACACCCTGTATATATGTATTTATATAGGGGGACCGATCGATGACCAATTGTCGCAGCATTTAACGCGCGATCGCGAATCGAAGCGTAACGTCAGTAACAATGAGTGAAAGTTTCGCCGACTATCTCGGCGAGAAAGCAAATGGAAAACGTCACAGTATTTTGCAAGCTGAAATGTGCGTAATCGCACAATAAAAACGAGGGTTTTAGACGAGCTCCGTCGCAAAGACGATAACAATTTAATCGTACAATAAAATGTGCGCGTTCAAGAATCGATTTGTCTCGATATTTGTTGTCGTTTAATTGCCGTTTTTGTTCCGTCGTTAATTTTCGATTACTTGTGTCGCAACTTTGACAGTTCGAAATTACGCGGTTGTGTATTCGTTATGGTTTGTGAGATAATTTCACAAAAAAAAAACGTTTGAAAATATGTACATGTTTAACGTGAGCTCGATAGTGCGCGTGATGTTGTGGTCTAGTTGCAGTGAAATTGACACTAAAAAAAATTAATTTAAAAAATTAAAAAAAAGCTTTTTCTTTTTTTTGCAATTGTTTTATTAAAATTTGTTTTTTTTTTTAAAAAAAAGATGTCTCAATTTTTTTATCAAGAGATTTGGCAGCATTCAAATGTTGTGTGCTGCAAATAAAATGTTCCATAATTTATTTAAAAATCTCTCGTGTATTTCCGACAAATTTTGTTCCGATCGTAAATTTTTTTTTAATCAACGAACGTCCTTCAACGTTTCTCATGCGATTAATAGAATAGAAACAAAATTGCAAATTACTTGCAGCATGCGCGCGCGCGCGTTTGTCCGACGTCTAGTCGCGGTTCTATGAGGAACGAGGTTGCACGTCAGTCGCGCGTCTATCGATGGCCAGTGTACCGGAGAAAGGTGGGGTGTATCTCCACTATACTCGACGGTTTCAACGTGAACATCCAACTCGCCGTCGACCGCCTCACTCAGTCAAGCTGAAACCGCGAAGGATCGCGATAGAGCGCGCGCGTGCCTCGCGACGACGGCCACTTCGCGTTTCACTTCGTCTTTCAATGCCGCCGCTCGTTTACCGCGCGGTATACGAACCACCGTCGAGAAGAGAAGCTTCCTCGCGAAATCGGTTGCTAGCGCGAGTTCGAGATCTGTCAAGTTGTTGATAAGGACAAAATCTCTTCGCAGCGATGATTCCCTCGTCACGAGTGATAATATCAACGCGATAACGCGCAGTGTCGAGAAATCAGTGTCAAAAAAAGTGATAATGTGCGAATTGTCTTTTTTTTTTTTGTTTCTTTTTTTCCGCATCGGTATGTAACTCGTCGCGCGTGAAAGAAAGATAAGAAATAAGAAGCAGGAATTAAAGATGGATTCGATCGAAGTGGAGTAACATTCGTCTTGCGTTGGGTTTGTTAGTCGCATCATTCACACGATGCCATTGCTATCTTTACTTACGGGCTAACCAGGCGGAACTTACTTACGGGATGTGATGGGGATATATAAACAAGAGAGAGACACCTTGCGCCTTATCGGCTGTTACCGTGTGTGTATGTCGCCGCTTATACCTTAAAAAGCGCGCTGATTCATCGGCGCGGTAAAATCAACGACGACGATGACGACGTGCGCGTTACGCGTTTTTTTTTTTTTTTTTATTTCACGGTCGTGATATTTTGACGATTATTTATATTTGACTTTCTCGACAACAACAAGCGGAGAATCGAAATCTATCTATCTATCGCAACCGCTTTGCATCGCTCTCTTCCGTCGCGATTGTATAAATCACAGCGGAAAATCACAACGGTGGAAGGGAGACCGAGTCGCGGCCGCGCTACCACGGCTTTCACGACGGTATTTACACTCGACTGCATTCTGAAAATCGCACGCTGTCGCTTTGACGACGAATGAAAAAGAGTCAAGAGTTTCGAGTTTAACGTCGATTAAGAGCACTAGATAAGAATGCTTGAAGATCGTGAGAACAAACACGGCAAACGGAAAAAAAAAAGAAGAGGATCCTTCGCGGCTTTGAAATTTTAATTTAAAACAATCCTGTGTCTTCTCCGTCTCTCTCGGAATGTTTTCGACGAAGAAAGTGTCACGCAAACAGCCGCGCAAACTGTTGATGCAAAACGGAAAGGGGGGAGGGAAAAGAAAAGACGGAATATATTTTTAGAAAGCTCAATCTCGCGAAAGTAAATAACTTGCAATTTAAATTAAAAATTTAAAACAGAAATTTTTTTCTTACGTAAACACGAGTAACGAAACAGATCAAAGAGATGGTTACGATGAGATAATTAAAAGTAATTAAAAGTAATAAAAAAAAAAAAAAAAAAAACAGAAGAGATGTGAAAACACTTCGGCCAAAACGACCGAGACGGAGAAAGTAATTTTTTTTCTTTTTTTTTTTTTTGATCGAATAAATAATGATCCGGTAAAAGTGAAAACGCTGAGGTAACGTTTGCGCGATGAGGCTCGCCTTATAATCGGTATCAATATTTACGAGTTTACGAAGCTGTAATTTATTCGTCACGATCGACGATAGAAAGAGAATATATCTCTCGATTTGAATAAATATTCCGAGGCGTGTTGTTTTTTTTTCTGAAAAAAACAAAAACTCCAACAACTCCGAAGTTTCTAACCGGCTGACGTACATGTGCAGGCTTTTAAAAATATTGCGAAAATCCGCGATGTCGCGCGCTGACGCGCGATTAAGCGAAACAAAAGCGCCGCTAAAAAAACGCCGAGCGAAGTTGTCGGCAAAGTAAAGCGAGTTCTTCGTGTGTGTGTGTTTTTTTTTTACACAGCGGTCACGTATATACGTGGCACAGATTATCACACGCGCGCTGTCAATATAACGCTACGATAATGATACACATTAAATTGTCGCCACATGCGTCACGAAATGACGCCTATTGCGACGTCGCATGCTCCGTTTCGGCGTCGAAAGTAATTTGGACAAGTAATCCGGGCTGGGTATGTGAATCTCTGACACGTGATGGGTCGTGCATGAGTGTATGCGCGCGCGCGCGCGCACGACGTTCTGTTGCGAGTGTCCGTCTAAATCAATCGCGAACGTATCGTTATGCGACAGACAATGACGTTGTTGAGCGTTAATAAAAACGTCCGCGTTTGTGCGTCTGGAGATAAGACACGTTTGTTGAGTATTGAACAGGTAGTTGAAAAAGAGCAGCAAAATCGCGAAATAATTACAGATACAGAATGTATTAATGCATTTCAGAAAATAGATGTAAAAAATTTCTTGATAGACGCGAATGAAATTTGAATGAGGAAAAAAACGAACTTTATTATCTAGAAATAAAATATTCGCTCCGATCGAGCGGAAAAAGAAGCCTGACTAGAATTTCGCGTTTCACATTTTTTTCTCTTCTCAAAAACAACAAAAAAGCAAACACTAGTTGACAAGGCACGCGGTTTCTTTTCAAGCATCTGCGTGCTAGAGATCAGTCCATTCCACATAGATATACTAATGAGCGAGTGTTGTTGACAATTAAGAGAAATAACGAAGTTAATAAGAGCCAAGCGATGGATGTGCGTGCGAAATAATTTCAAAGTGTAAATTAAAATACGCGCGTATATAGCTCGACTTAACTGTAGACTAATGGGTCTTCCAGACCCATTCAAAACTTGCGCATCGACGTTTCTAAAAAGAATAAGGTTTTTTTTTAAACGCTTATATTTTCGGAACTAGTGGAGATTTTTCAATCTGTTATTTTTTAATCGACGCAGAATCGTTCAAACTTTTGATTCAAAAAAAAAAAAAAAGGAAATTGAACAAATCACAAATATTGATTTTTCGCGAGAAGATATTCGATTTTAAAGTTGCGCGGGCCCTCCGGTCTACAGTACTCGTAGGCTGTTCAGGTTTAAAGAGTTAGATTTGATTCAAAGAATCAAAAGTTCTGTAACGGAGAACTGACAAGTATATTATTAGCTCTCTCTTATTGTTTATATGTTGAAATAATTTTGCGACATATTGAATATTTCTCGAATTTAATTGATTCTTCTAATCTGTGCAAAAAGAGGAGCACTTTAGATTTTTTTTGCGATTATTATTATTTATTTTGCGTTCGAACTTTTCATTCCACCTAGATATTGCGCCTCTGTGTGTTCACGATTTTTAAAAATACTTCACACAACCCTGTGTGTCCCTACGGTGATCGTGAAACGGAAAATTGTGCATGCGTGACGCGGCGTGAGCTGACCTTCTTCGCTCTGACGTCGCGGTGAACTCGTCCTGATAATAAGTTACGAGTCGGGGCAGATACGTATGACTAAAGCGATATCGGTTTAAAGCTCCGGATATGTTGATCATCTTACACATATATATATATATATATATACATATGTATGTATCATCGACTGTGAGGAACTGTTAGCACACGGTTCGCACTACGCGCGATAACCATGTTACGAGCGCGTCTTCTCTTGTGTGCACACGCATCGAGCACGTGGGGTACAAACGCGCGCGCGCGTAGTACGAATAGCATTACCACGGTACCGTTAATACCACTCGCGATATCTAGTTGCTCAGAGCGAGTGCACGATCGCGTGTGTGTGTGTGTGTGTGTGTGTGGGAGCGGAGCGGAGCGTGTATGACGCGGCGCCGCCGTCGTCCTTTTTGCGTGAGAACAAACCTCCGCCGGATACAATGATATCGAGATCCCCGTGCTTTCGGTTACGCGCCGCAACCTACGCAACACCGATTACTTTTCTCGCCAACTTCTCTCTCTCTCTCTCTCTCTCTCAGCGCTTGAAAAAGTTTTAAGAAACTCGCCTCAAAGAGGCATAAACCATATTCGGCTTGTACGAAATCCCACACACACTTTACTTTCCGCTTCTCGACGAAGCTTCCCGCTTTTCTCTATTTCGCGCTCGCTGAAGTTTTCTCAACTCGACTTTTTGTCGCGAATACATTCTTTTGTTATCTTAATTGCGCGCTTTAAACAAGTTTTCGCAATTTTACGCAACAATTGCACATGTTGTTGATGGTCGACTCGGTAAGACGAATAATGTGCGCGGAAGTTTCTGCGTTCGACGCTCTCCTGATCGTTTTCGTCATTTTGTTTTGTAACTTTCATAGATAAAATTTCGTAATTTTTATTTATTTGAGATACAAATTAATCTTCCGCTTGCAGACATGGGTCTTCTAGACCCACTCAAAAATTGCGCATCTTTAGTAAAAATTAGTTCGTTTAAACGTTTATATCTCCGAAATTACTATAGAGATTTTGTATTTTTTATCGACGCAGAATCGTTCAAACTTTTGGTTCAACAAAAAATTGAAAAAAAAAATATTGATTTTCCGCGGAGATATTCGATTTTTTATAAAGCCGCCTGGGTCTCACAGACCCAGTCTGTCTCACTCCTAGATCATTTTTTTTAAGGTCTGTAGGCGAAGAGTTTAAACATTTTGGATAAACATTGAAATCCATTCGAATTTTTGTGCACATTAATTTATATGAAAAATATACTTGCATATACATCCAGCACGTAAACATTATCGGGAGCTTGAATTTGTTGTAACATGTATATATTTAAATTATTTTTAACATCCTGCGTCATTAAGATGACGACAACGACGACGACGACGACGACGACAAGATTGGAAATATTTTTATCGCAAATACAAAATACTATTTTTAACGCTCTCTCTTCTCAATCGCGAGGAAAAGTCTTTCGAGAAATCAATAGCTCGTTCATCATCCGTTTTATTATTCACTCGAGTGTCTTGGCACATTTTCCCGATCGGAGCACTACCGGCCACGTTAACTCGAATTTCGATATAAATTTTACTTCGCTAATGACACACGGAATAAAAGAGACGATATTCCCTGCGATGCATTTCACGGACCGTTATGTGCGTACGCGGCCGTAAACATCTTCGCGAAGAATCCGTGGGAAAATAAAAAAAATTCGTCGAATGCACAATCGAGAGAGGAGAGTCGTTGAAAAGAAATTGGTTCCAACCAGAGAGCGCTCGCGAAAATATCAAGATGGAGAGAAGAATTTTGTTTCGTTTTATATAATTGACATTTTGCCGAGAGCGAGCGTCTAACAGTTGTCTCTCAACTGTGTTATTTTCGCAAAGAGAAATAATTACGTATTCGAGTAGCAAAAAAATACATCAGAACAAAAAGAAAGCGCCCCGGCATAATCGAGATAATTTGCATTCAGATACGTCGAAGAACCATTCGTTTTGTTCGCTGGTTTGTACTATCCGCGTTTCACTCAGCACAAATTTCAATTGCGTGAGTTACAAGCCCGCCTCCGTGAGTATCGGTTCTCACGCTATTCATTACACATCGGGTCGGGAATATCATCAGCGTGTCATAACGAGAAAGAGAAGAGGGTCTGAAATGAATGAAAAAAAAAAAAAAAAAAGAATCATAGAGTAGTTTCTACCACGCGCGACTTATTATCTCAACGTGTGTGTACATGTACCGTACACAACCGATAAGTGTGCCGACGTGAACTTATTATTAGAGTGTGACGTTGTTTCGCCGAAGTGAACTTGAACGGCGCGCTTAGAAGCTACAGACCGCGCGCGCGCGTTTTTCGTTTTTACGAAGCGCGTAAAACCTGTGTGAATAAAACGTCCGGCTCACAAAACCCGAACCTAGTGACCTATTCCGCGTTGCGCCCCACTTTTTCCGATCGCGAGAATTCTCACGAAAAAGAAAAAAAAACAAACAAAAAACTTGCGCGACGTGTCATTTACGCTCGCCGCGAGTCTTCTGTTCTTCTCGAGAAACGTGTAACTTCCTTCTTCTCGAGATTCCGCCGAGCGCTTTCAGCGCAGAAAATTACTTTTAACCTTTGCCACCTTGGTCGTTCGCGCGCGCCTAGACCGCTTCGCGTCTAGCCAGCGCAAAGTATATAGTGTGTTGTATATATACACGCTCGACCAGAGAGAGAGATAGCTTTCTCCCGATCGCTTAACTTTTACTTTTGCCACAGGCAAATTGAGGATCCCCGATATATCCGCCGTTTCTCGCGTGTGTGTATTCTCGCCGCAAAACCAACATCAATCCGCGCCAAAAGTCCGACGACGTATCCGCGTCTCGTCGTGAATGTCGTCCGTTCATTCATTTTTTTTTTCGCACGAGTTTGCGCGCGCAATGAGTAGATTTGATTTTGCGAGTAGATCGCTGAGTAATAGAAAACAACCAAAAAAAATTGAAAACAGAATTACGCGAAAGTGTTTGGCGCGAGTGCGACTGAACGAGATTTCCGCGAGATCTCGTTGAAGAGGAGTCTGAAAACAAAACCATCATCGCGTATAAAAAAAAAACAAAAAAAACAAAAAAAACAATCGATTAATATACATTGTTTTCTTTATTTGCTACGCGAACTCTCGACTGTGGATTTAATGGAATATCTGGGGAAAAAAAAACATACAGCGCGTCTGCAACCGCGGATACCTCTCTCCATTCCATATAGTGTCGCGCGGAGTAGAATTGCGCGAAATAAACTGCCAGCACGCGAGTCTCTGTGTGAAAAATTCAAAACTGGAACGCGCGCGAGTTCGATTACTCTGTCGCCGTACGTATTGACGCGAAATCCCTATCGTGCGTCCGCAATGCGCATTAACATACGTGAAAGTACCGGCGAGTGTGTACCTGTTGTGCGCTGTTATTTTTCTATTTTACAATTCAGGCCGGTGGCACGAGGGCGCGCGTATGTTCGAGAAGAGAGAGATAAATTTATCTGCGCGCGCGTTAAACGTTCGGCCAACTTCAAAGTCGTTCGAGAAATAACCGCGGCGTGTGTGTTTCTCGCGCATCTCTCTTACAAAGTTAAACGCGTTTGAACGTAAATTAAAAGAAAACAAATTTAAAAAAAAAGTCATTAAAGACATTTTAATTTAATTGTTTTCTTCATCGTGTGTACCTATATCGCGGCTAGTTCTGCGCTAGTTTCGGACCCGCGTTCGTGAGATACTCTCGAATTTTCTATCTCACGGAACTGAAGCGCGAAGAATCCGTCGAGGATCGAGCATCGTAGGGGATATAATTGAGGATCGTTGCGATTCGGAATCGCGTTTGCGCGCGATGTAAATCGATCGAATGTCGTTTTTTTTTTCCGTCGCGCGCGTTAAAGTGGATCTCCCTTGTGAGTGCAACGACCTCATACAGTCTCTCTCTCTCTCTCTCTCTCTCACATACACGCACACACTTTCTCGACGTAAGAGAGTTTTTTTTTTTAACGTAGATTCAGAATTATATATATATATATATATAAATATATATATCGGAACCGCCGCGGAACGAGAAAGAGATCGCGCACGGTCAGCGTGAATTGACCTGTATATTTCCGAGCGGTAGCACAAGGCATCGAAGAGACGACGAGCCGTAACAATATATGTGCGTTTAAATCGGCACCAGTGGGAGGCCGTTTTGCCCCACCTTTCATTCGACTTTGACAGTTCCATTATGGTATCGAAGCTAACGGCAAGGCAGAACGGGTGTAGTTGACGATCGCGAATCAACGTGCGCACCGGTCCGTCAAGGTATTTTTATTGTTCTTCTCTTCTTTCCCGTGTCGAAGCGATTGGGAAATCGCTTTCGACGTGCGCGCGGAAAAAATGGATGAACGGCCATTGTGTTTTCGTCTCGTCGGCCTAGTGTGTCGCGCAGCTGCGAAATTAAATCGCAATAAACACGAAGAGCGGTGCAGTGTCGTTTTTGTGTCGTCGATCTGAAAGCGGCTAAGTGCGACAGTAGCGTGTGTGTGTGTGTGTGTGTGTGTGTATGCGCGCGTCTCTGTAACAAGTTTTCCGTGTTTTTTTTTCGAATTGATTTGATAAAGAGGTTTTTTTTTAGTAGTTTCGCGTTCGTCTTTTCGAATTAATTTAATTAGCTTTTTAGCGTTTGTTTCGCCGGAGACTCGTTAGAGAACAGACCAATTTTTTCATCGCGCGAAAGAGAGAGAGAGAGAGAGAGAGAGAGAGAGAGCAAAATATGTTTTTTTTTTTTTTTTATGTTAACGAGCCGCGCGCAACCAAGTTTCGAAAATTGCATTTGCGAAGGACATTCTCTCGCGCTGTGTGTCACCGTTAAAAAAAAAAATTAAAAAATGTTTCAGCGGAATCTCTCGTTAGCGAGGTCTTGTTTCCATCACCGAGGATTATGCGGCGCGTGTGCTCATTATTATTCGCCGTCTTTAACTTTTTCGTACGTGCGTCCCCGATATCCGAAACGGCTAAAGACACACGGAACAAACGGTATATCCATCGGGTATTACCGCGCGCCGATCCGCCGTGTGCCGATCGCATGAAACTATAATTCCAGTTCACCTAGAAATTCCAGTTCACAGATTTCGGTTTTTGTGCATTTTGTTCGGTTCGGTGAGATAAATGAAAATCGAAAACGTCGAACGCGACAACAGCGCGTTGCAATTCGCGATTACAATCCGAATGTGTGCTTTTGCAAAATCAGCTTCTCAGCGTGTAACGCAATGTTCAAACAATATCGTAATTCTGCGCTCTCGAGTTTCTGTTCCCGATATTTTGCACAATAATATACGCGTTTATTTAAAAACAAACAAGAACATTGAACTCTAAAAATGAGAGTTGCATTGAAAAGTATTTTTTATTTATTTTGTTTCTTATACGGATGTGCTACAAACATATGTTTTTTTTTTCTTCAACGGAATATCATTAACAGCAATAAATTTTATCCGCGCGCTCTCGTGATACGCATATTAATTACGCGTTCGTTGGAAAGTTTTAATGATCGCGTCCGTGAGTCAGCCGGAAAAGGCGGGCGAGTGAAAATGACACTATTGATCGATGCCGCCGAGAGTAGCAATAGTTAATCCAATTACTTTACTCGTCGAAGTTGAAAGCGTTCATAACGCCAGGCGAAATTTAAGCTGGTTACTGTCCGCTCAAGAACTAAATTTAGAATTTCGAGAATTATCATATATTAAATATAAAGATCGATATTCCGGATGATAATACTCGTATGAATTATTCAAATCGGTGACCCAAATTTCGAGATCGCCGGACTTAAATAAACTTGACAATTTTTTTTAGATTCACTATCTCATGTGTGTTTTCGACAAATTTGTCGGAAGAGAAAAATTTATAGCAATAATTGATCTTCGCTCTTTTCTCCGTTCGAATCTAGGTCCGTTGGATACTACTGAACGTATCTTCTCTAACGTGATTCCTTCGGCACTGCCAATTAACCAAAGAAACAAGCCCGCGTAGTTTTGCCGCGATCGGCGGTGATTAACGCGAGTTCTGTGAGAAACCAAAAAAAAAAAAAAAAAAAAAAAAAACAATAATGACCACGAGTCCGCCGTCGTACCGAAGAGCTTCGGTTCTAGAAGAGAATTGGTGAGAGAATTTTCGCGATGAGATGAACGTGTGATGATACGCGCGTACGCAATGATCGAGCCGCGCAGCGAGAGGGTGACCGTGTGCTCGCCCCAGACTCAACACCACTGTTATCAAATGATACGAACCACCACCAGAGTGCATCAAAGTTCACGAAGCTCACGGATGGTGACCGTACAGGAAAGAGTCGTCAGATCGCGTCTTCAGTTGGGTTACTCCACGCCAACGTCCTTCATCAATCGGTATAACTTATTGGTTATTTTTTATTTAGACAATCACTAACCAACTGTTCGAAATCACCACTGATGAAAAATGACTGATTTATCGTCTATGTGTAAAAAAAAAAAAAAAAAAAAAACAATCCAGAATTAAATCTGCACAAAATCAATATTAATTGATTTTTATCAATTTTTAATATTGATACATCAATTTTTTATTATTTTACATCACGAAACACACTGCGATTAACTTTGTGATATTAAAAAAACTTTGTTAAATTGTTTTAAAGTCGTAATTTTTAAGTGTAATTGTATAATTTTATGGAATCACAGAGCTGGTTGTACTAATATTAGTTATTAATATCATTTTTTTTTTTTTTTTTTCCATCTTTCTGACGCATTTGTCTTTATATTGTAATCTCGTAGAGATTACGATGCTCGTAGAGATTGTTCGTTTTGCATTGAATATGTTGTAAATATGGACAATATGTGCAAGGAACACACACGTACAAAGGAAGTGGATGAATCATATCGAAGAAAAAGAACCACCGCGTTACCATGTAGCCGTTATCTCGATGAGATTCGCGCAAGAACATAATTATCACATAATATTAAGGAAAACGTAATCTCTTTGAAGCAACATTATTTTCTTCTCCAACACGCCGATAGAGAGAGACTCACGGACGTGAATCGTCGGTTGTTGAGAACAAAATTTATTTGAGATGGAATAATCAGAGGCGTTTGTTAAATTAACGCTTCGACATGAAATTTCCATCTCTTATTAGAGTTTCCGCTTTACTTCGAAGAGACCGAGAGTTTCTTACGGCTTATATAAAGAGTTCTCGGCGCTAATTAACTCTAAATTTGAGTTAAATTAAAAAAACTGAGTGATTAAAATAATTTTTTATTTTTTTTATTTTTATGTCAGAAACTTTAAATATTCGCAAAATAAAATCGCTCAGAACTATGCCGATTTTCGATTCAAAGCTGGCTCTCCGTTTTTTTAAACTCAAATTTGATAAATGTTAATCAGCGCGGAAACTCTTTGTGTAAACTAGAGAAAACTCTTCTAGTCTCTTCTAAAAAATAAAGCGAAAACTCTAATCGAAACTATGGAAATTTAACGTTGAAATGCCAACTTAACAGAATCGCGTGGAATCGCTCGATGCGAGCGCACGCGCGCGGAGCACCTACGCCACGGTAATGGCAATGAACGGTTGTTAATTACTCGATGATAATTAGTCTACGGCGCGCGCGATGCGAGCTTCGCCGATTACGATAATGGAGCGCGCGCGCTTTAATAATTTCCGTAATGAATTCGAGACACCGTAGTCGTGCGTACTTACACGACTTTCTATACGGTATACACGTTTAACACACTTACTTGTTTCCTCGATATTTATCAGAAACGTAACATGTTACACTGTCGCTGAAAGTCACCCGGAGATTGAGCACATTTAACATGACGAACATTTAACATTCGATAATCTTTTATTTGCGAAATTTTCTCAAACAAAAATGCTACAAAATATATATTTGCTGAAAAATATTGTTTTATTTACTTCGAGAAATACGTTTAACTTTTATTTGTTTTTAATATAAATTTTTTGCTCGAGTTTTATAAATTATTGGTTTATTTTTCTCTTTTTTTCTTTATAACTGTTATTTTAATATTTTTTATTTGTGATGAAAAAAAATGTTCTGACAATTTTTGTAACATTCGAGAGAGAGAGAGAGAGAGAGAGAGAGAGAGAGAGAGAGAGAGAGANGAGAGAGAGAGAGAGAGAGAGAGAGAGAGAGAGAGAGAGAGAGAGAGAGAGAGAGAGAGAGAGAGAGGGGGTGAGAAGGGCTGTGTAAAATTCTTGCATTGAGAAAATGTTTCGCTATATCCGAGAGTGACCAATCACTCAAAAAAAAAGTTTTATATATATAAAACCAGACGTTTTTTACGTTAAAAAAACTCGCAGTCTGTGTAAAATAGATATAATGTTTAATTTTTATATGTTAAATCATTTTTATTAATATTTTCACACACACACACTCATCACAACTCTGTTCTAAAAAATCTACTATTACTAACAAAGATAATCTGAGTTATATTTTATAATAATATTTTACGTACTACGAGTATTTTAACAAACACCTCATTTTAGTTTTATATTCTTCGAGATCTTTTGAGCGATTGGACGCTTCAAAGGAACTTTACATACATCGTTAGTTATTCGAAAAAACGTGTCTTTCATCAGGCAAACTGCAGTCACATGCAGTTGCCTCGAGACGACGTGCAGCATCGAGAACTTTATCAAAGAGATTTTTGCTTGAGTCTCTTCGCGTCGCAAAGAGTTTATTGATATCGTTTCGAAATACCGTAATACCGCGCGCGTATGAATAAAGATGTTGGATTCATAATAGACAGAAGCGCGCGATGGCATTATTGTAAATCACATGTGTGTATGTATGCGCGTGTGTGTGTGTGCATCTGTATATATTCGCGAGGTGTCGAAGAAGTAGAGCGGAGACGTCCGCACCTGCGCGAGATTCCTCGTTGGAAATGAGCTGTCAGTCGATTTCCTTCACGTCATAATTGATCGGCAAGAGACGTCTGGCGCTTTTATCGAACTGTCGTCGGCTAAAGCTGGAAAGACGCGCGCGCGCGCGCGCGCACATCGTGCGTGTAACATAATTGATTAATTCAAAATATACAATCCAGACATTTTCGTTCTCTCGTTGTGTTACACACGCGGTGTGTTAATGACGCGCGTCGGTTCGCACAACGAATATATACGAAGACATGACAAATGTGTTATCCAGATCCCGTCCAGATTGTGCTTTATGCAAATAGGCGCCGTATTATCATGTGCATTTGGGTCAATGATAATGAATATGAGCCACGGCCAACGCGCGTAATTCAATTCTCCCCTGAAAGGACATTTGCTTGCACACACTTTGAGAATATTAATATTGAGTTACATGGCGAAAACACACAGTACACACATACAAGGATATTATAATTTATCTATTATTTTCGTTCTCACTGGAAAAAAAAAAAAAAAAAAAAAAAAACGATACGTAAACTACGCGTGTTCTTATCGCGTCGCGCCAGATGCGCGCGCCGATAACACATTAATCACACTAGCGAGCGACAAAAATATCATCAACTAGAATTTTAGCGGTGCACAAAGAGATTCGAAAACAAATGTCACGGACGTATCTATAAGGTGTACACGTCACTGTACGAAGATGATGATCAATCACATCGCTTATTCAGTGTGGAAATGTCAAACACGAACTTCATTTTCTTTATGAGTGTGTGTATAATGAGCTGCGTGTGATGTATTAACACTTTTCTGCGACCGTATATACTATCGTGTTTTTTCACGTTCGAACGTCGCTGTCACCGAGGTCACGAGTCAACTCGTGTGTTTGCACTTGCATTAGTTTATGGCAATTTTTAATCCCGAGAGCACAATATAAGAGTTTTTATAAGAGCGTTCTAGGTCGTGTTATTATTCTTAGAGTTATCTCCGGGGGCTGCGACGGAATAGTTTCGGCTTGAAATAGCCGGTTGGTCAAAGTCGACGGGAAAATAAATTTATTTATTTTTTTTGGGAGAGTGTATTTATACAAAATTAAAATATAAAAATTATTTAAGAAACAAGTAACACTTCTTGATTCGAGTTTAATTTTTTTTTTTTTTTTTTTTGAATAAATGACGTCCCTCTTGATGAATCGAAATGGAACTCGAAGTAAGAAACGGGGACAGGAAGAAGAAGCCGTGCGTTTAACCACCCGAGGTATCCTTCCGAGGGAAAAAAAAAACATCGAGCCAGGTGCGTGTCGGGCCACCACGCTGCCAGCCAGGCAGGCAAGCAGGCGGCGGAGTCTCGTGCCCGCTTTTACGTATGTGTGTGTGTGTGAGTGTGCGCGGAGGGAGGAAAGAAGGGAGAGGAAGGCCCCGGATAGCACGCGCACATCGTGGCACGCGAGTTGCAGACAGCCGACGACGACGACGACGACGACGACGACGGAGCAGATGTTCCTCTTCTTCTTGGGGAAGCTCCAACGCTACGTGCGCTTCTCGCGTTTCTCTTTTATTATGCGCACACACACACACACACACACACACACACATCATCGGTCGACTCTTCGCTCTTGGCGAAGCGCCTGCTCTTAAAACGAATCCCGCGCGCGCGTGGACGTTCTCATCCTCGCGCGCAAACTGAACTCGAAAATACATTCAATGATTTTGAATAAACAATTTTACGTCGATATTTTATACTCCGCAACTGTGCGACGCCGCGCAATATTTCTTTCTCCCGGAAGTTTTTTGTGTTTTTGTTGTTTTTTTTTTTTTTTTTTTTATTGCGTTACGCTTCTCGCGTTTATTCTTCGCTCACATGGTCAGGCTCGCCGGAGTGTTTTGCCCGCCTTTCGCGGCCTGCCTGAGGTGCGTTTTTTAATATTTAATTATGTAAAATGTAAATTTTTAATTATATAAAATCTCGTAATTTTGCTACCGCGTGCGTTAATAATTTCATATCGATAAACACACATTGCTCTCATCGGTCTTTTCCGGCCGGATTGCGATTCAAATTTCAATTCGTAAATCCTCTCGCGTCGATGTAATTTTATATTATATGTTATTTCTACTTGGCATTTGAAAACATCGCGGTTATACTGTACTTTCGCATTATCGTATAACGTTTAATGGTACACGCACTGATTACGACAGGAAAATTATGGTTCGAGAGAGCGATGTATTTTTTATATATAGCGAAACCGTACCATCGATTTCTCGACCATTTGTTCCGATCCCAATTGTCAGATAATTGCATCTTTGTGAAAATTGTACGTGCGTGTGTGTAATTATTTTTTATTGTCAAACAATTAATATTTATTTATCAGAGAAGAAATTGTTGATTTTTAAACGAATTGTTGTGATTTTAAACGAAAAATTGAGAGCGAATAATAAATTCTCAATTGTTTGATATTCTTCGATTCTTAAAAATACGTTACGTAACATATTTATCGTTTCAATTTCTTATCGTTAAAAAAAACGAGCCTTCGGCTCGCGCGTTTGTCGTCAGAATTTAATTTTCTTCGATTCCTTCGAAATTCGAAGGAAAAATTCTTGACGCACGGCAAATCCCCCGGTGTCGCGGTGACACATGCGGTTTTGCGCATTTATTTTGCTTATACGATTATACCGGATTCTTACGTAAGTCGTTTAATTAACGTGCATTGCGTAAGAAGTCTTTCGCGATTACAGAAGGTTGAGTGTCACGGTCAAGCAACGTCGTCGGTGTGCTGTCATCCTGGTTGCACCTGCCAGATGCGCACCGACGACGGACGTACATATCGTATACACGAACACACAATGCAGCACCTTTGTGCATCCTTGAGAAGGGAGAGAGAAAAAATTGTTCTCGTATACTCTTCTCTCATTGGATCCTTTCATTGGATTTTTCGTCCCGGTGCCGAAAAACGCGCCTCGGGTTAAGCGCCAGCTGCCTCTTTCTCGTCCGTTCGGAGCACAGTTCGTCTTCGGTCTTCGAGGTAGTCGGCACGCGAAACGCGCGCGCAAGCACGTGCCCCGATTGAATCCCGCTCTCTCGCGAGATACGAGATACGCTTCCGTGGTGTAATTGTGTAATTGCGCGAGAGTGATCCCGTGCATCGAGGACGGCCGTCGGAGCCCAGGCGCACGCAACCGACACGGCCGCTGCCCGGCGGGCAGTTACACAGACAAAGATAGATAGCGCAATTCGATACACGTGGAAAATCAAACCAGGCTTCTATCAACTAGGCAACATGATCATTTGCGTTTCCCATTTCAGGGGGTGCGTCTCGTCTCTTCTCCTCCGCCACTTTTACAAATCATTTCGCGAATGTCAGTTGCAACCGCGACTGGTGCCGCGTACACGCACCACGCACCCCGCGTAGTAATAATCAGAAACACCTGACGCGTAATGGACGCTGAAATATATTGTCATCTGATTTCAATTACTCACCCAGTCCCGCGTGTTGCACTCCCTCTTGTCTACGTGTCCGTAACCGTTGATACTCGGAAAGAGACACGACAATTTCGAATGTTGCGCACACAAAAAATTGATTTCAAATACAAATCTTTCAAGAAAAAACCTACTTTGAAGAGGGTCGAATAATATTTCTCTTTTTTTTTTTTTTTTTTTTTTACCGTTGAAAATTGTAAGAGTTTTGTCATACGTTAAATTCGTTACACATTTCGTTGGAAGAAAACCTTTCTCAACAATTGGACCCTTTCGAGGGTCGAGGTTGTTGATTCGAGGTTAAAAATGACATATCCCCAGCAACATTTTACACTCGTAACAATTCAGACAGACGGTGATAAACAAACATGTGTGATTTGTTTTTGTTACAGCTTTTCGTCGAAGGTGGAGAGACCTCTGACGTCACACAATAACGCGAATCAGATTCACGGCAACAGCATGCACGGCGCGTACTCGACATCCGGCAGCCAAACGTCTCTGACGACGACGTCGTACATCACCGGCCAGTCCTACATGCAGAGTCAGAATTATGGGACGCCTTATCCTTCCGCGCAGCATTATCCGCACAGCACAACGAGTTACTCGCAGCCGCAGAGTTACGGCACCATGGTGCAGGGCTTCGGCGGACAGCCGCAATCCGCCGGCTATCAGCAGAATCACCTTAAGAAGGGACCGGTTCGCAACGGCGACGTGCTCAAGCGATGTCGACTGCAGACCGCGTAAGTTTGTAATTCGATACCCCGCCCTCGGTATTGTTGCTAACCACCAGGAGGAGGCAAAGCGACGAATATAGAGAGAGATGTAATGGTTTTATATCGGATTACATTTCCGACATCTCCGGAATAGATAGAAAATTAACGATAGAAATATAGAACGGACGTTTCGAGTTACGAATCAATGATCTACTTCCGACAGATACGAGTTATCGCAGGACCTACTTGACAAGCAGATCGAGATGCTGGAGCGCAAATACGGCGGCGTGAAGGCGAGAAACGCGGCTTTGACGATTCAGCGTGCCTTTCGTAGATACACGCTGTTGAAAAAGTTCGCGGCTATCACGGCGATGGCCAAGGCGGAGAAGCGATTGAGCCGGAAGCTTCAGGAGGCAACGGATCGTTCCGGAAATCTGAACGATCACGAGAGAATGGTTTATCACAGTCAAATATATATTCAACAAACGCAGCCTGCCAACAGGTAAAAAAAAGTTAACGCGCGTACAAATCAAATTTTCTTTTTTTTTTTAACGCGTCAAAAAAAAAAAAAAAAAAAAAAACTTCTGACCTGAGCAAATTCATCAGGCCAATACCGATCCGAAGCATGTCTCTGAGAGAAAGGCGGCACGTGGACACTTCTCAGTCGCCAATACCGAGAAGTCAAAGCAGCAGATGCGAGATCCCGGTTAGCAGCCATCAGCACACGAATCACAGCATGCACCAAAGCGGCGGCAGACACACGCCCTCTTTAGCGCCTAGTCCGTGCAATCGGCATCAGCAGTTACCGCCGAGTCCTTGTTGGGAATCGAGTTCCCAAGAGAGCGGCTCCAGCATCCATTATTACAATCCACAGGTGAATATCGATTGAAGCGGCAATTTTGTCCGCCACATTACCCGTGACTCTATCGTAAACCAAATATATTCACACTCAGCCAGAATTCAAACACACATGTGACACATGTGCACACAGAGAATGGCCAATATCTTTCTACTTTCCCTTTTACTTCCTTACGATCCTCGCATATAAACACGATTGTTCGACATATGGTCGAACTATCCTTAAAGGACACAATGTAAAACTTTGCCACTTTATTTATAAATATATTTTATATAATATATATATATATATATTTTATATTTTATAATTTATTTATATATACATATATTGTTATTATATTGTTTATGTATAAATTTAAATTTATTATCTCTTTTACTAGTTTCTTTTTTTAAACATTTCTCAAATTTGCTACGATTTTTTTGGGACAAAATTTAGAATCCATTCATATAAAAAAAAAGCAATGGTTTTTATGATAAATCGTCGCGCACATCTTGTTTCATTTCTTGTCTCAGTTTGATAGAAATTTACGGTTAATTAATGTAGGAAGCTTTGTGTGGCCTGAGACAAGAGACGCCACCGAGAGACTTGCTGCGAACACCGTGTACATCGCCATCGACGCCGCACAATCTTCAAACGACGATATCACAAAATTGGAACAACGCCAGCCAACTCGGGTCTGGCAGAACGAGAGGTTCTTCTGGCAGGAAGATCCCGCCGGAAGTGCCGAAAAGAACGTCTTCGATTACTTCAAGATCCATGGAGCCGCGTCACAACGGTCTCAGTAAGAGCGTGGAGAACGGAAGTTTAAGCTCGGTGCAGAGCTCCGGCAGCGATTCCACAAATTGCGAGAGTTCCGAAGGCGATGCTCAGAGAGGATCGCCCGTTTGGAAGCACAAGGGAATTGTGAGTACACATAAAAAAATTTTCTTCTTTTTCTTTTGATATTGCGCGTTCGCACTGTTTTCTCGCGCGCTTGACAAATTCAATGCGAGGCGTAACGGCGATTTCTTTGAAGACGTAAGCGAAACGTAAGTTAACGGAACTGTACTCTGATTGCAAAATCAGTCGAGTTCGCCGGAACATCAGGAATGCGCGAGTCATACCACGGACGCGACGACGATGGCCACCAATGTGAAGGACCTCGGTCACTCGCATGCCAGCTCTGGCTACCAACTTCCGCCGATAGATCACGCGGAGAGTGGTCTGCCGAGTCAAACGAGTTATAAAGTATCGGAAACTGTGAGAAAGCGGCAGTACAGAGTCGGTCTAAATCTCTTCAACAAGAAACCGGAAAGAGGGATCAGCTATCTCATAAGACGCGGATTTTTGGAGAACAGTCCGCAAGGTGTTGCCAGATTCTTGATCAGCCGAAAAGGATTGTCCAAACAGATGATAGGAGAGTATCTCGGGAATTTGCAGAACACTTTCAATATGGCAGTGCTCGAGTGAGTGATTTGACAATAACATCTGAATTAGTAAACACCGTTATAATCACATCAAATTTACATCAATTTATTTGTAGATGTTTAGTTTTTAATTTGTTTATGTTTTTTTTTTTTTTAATCTGTAGATGTTTCTCCCACGAGTTGGATCTCTCCGGGATGCAAGTTGATGTCGCTTTACGAAAGTTTCAAGCCTACTTCAGAATGCCCGGCGAAGCGCAAAAGATCGAACGGTTGATGGAAGTGTTCAGTCAACGTTACTGTCAGTGCAATCCGGATGTGGTGTCCAGGCTACGGTCGGCGGATACTGTTTTCGTTCTGGCCTTCGCCATCATCATGCTCAACACGGATTTGCACACGCCGAACTTGAAACCCGAACGCAGAATGAGACTCGAAGATTTTATAAAGAATCTACGAGGAATCGACGATTGCGGCGACATAGACAGAGACATTCTAGTTGGCATTTACGAACGAGTGAAGGATAACGAATTCAAACCGGGTTCCGATCACGTGTCGCAAGTAATGAAGGTCCAGGCGACCATTGTTGGAAAGAAGCCAAATATGGCGCTGCCGCATAGAAGATTAGTATGTTATTGCAGACTCTACGAGATACCGGATATTCACAAAAAGGAGAGACCTGGTGTTCATCAGCGGGAGGTGTTCCTCTTTAACGACTTGCTCGTTGTTACGAAAATTCTGAGCAAGAAGAAGAACAGCGTAACTTACACTTTCAGACAGAGTTTCCCACTTTGCGGCATGATAGTTACTCTGTTTGAGGTTCCCCGTAAGTTTTTTTAACAGTACAAATATATATATTCTTAGTGATTCAAATGTTAACAAATGTAACTTGTATTATTTTTGTTTGTTTTTTTCTCGTAGATTATCCATACGGCATAAGACTCTCGCAGCGCGTCGACGGAAAGGTTCTAGTCACATTTAACGCTCGAAACGAGCACGACAGGTGTAAATTCGTGGAAGACCTCAGAGAGTCGATCAGCGAGATGGATGAGATGGAAACTCTGCGCATCGAAACCGAACTGGAGAGGCAAAAGAGCAGCAGAGGCGCGCGAGGCGGCGCGGAGAATAGAGATTCCGGAGTTGCCGATGTGGAGATATGCCCTTGTCCCGGAACTTGTTCCGACAGAGCAGAGACGGTCGACGTCGACACGCAATTGAAACGTTCCGCCCTTAGCAATTCCCTTCTGGATATACACGAGCAGTGTAAGTAGATTTACATAGTCGCATCTACGTCGAGTAGACAAAATATATGTGTATGATAGATTCTTTGTATGTGCGTTTAGTTGCCGGTGAGAAGCCGCAGCGTCGGGGAAGCGTGGGTTCTCTCGATAGCGGTATGTCTATTTCATTTCAATCTACTTCCGCCAGCTCAATGAGTCAAGGCATTAAACACCCTGGACAAGTTCATCCTGTTCATTCAGGAGCTACGATTCCTGGAGCTGGTGGTAAGGGACTGGCTCAACAGCCGTCTTTTTTAGGAGGTCTCTTCGCCAAACGAGAGCGAAAGTCGTCACAATCTGAAGAATCCGGTCCTTATAGTCGCACCACAGAAGTGTGAATGTATTCTTCCAGTAACGTATAAGGTAGACGGTTTCTTGTGTTTTCTTTTGGCGCGCTTCGTGTTCCGAACAGAACGGAAATATGTGTTTCTCGCGGCAATGTTGAGAATTTTAGATAAACAATAATCATTGATAATTTTCTGATTTTAATTCGTTTTGCGTCAAGAGACTACGGATGATACTTCTTTCCCGTTTCATGAAGTATATTTCTTAACTTAAAAAACAAATAAAAAAAAATAAAACAATAAAAGTAAAGACAATTTAATACAAGTAGCCGCGTAATGTTTTATTATTATTAACGTACACGATAGAATAGTGTCGTTTTATAACGTACATAAATCACGAAGCGTGTTACAAAGAGCGACAAAACGTTGGTGACAGATAAAAAAAAATAAATAAAAAAAAAACAAACCAAACGGACATAAAAGATTGGGCAGGATCCAATCGAGATCATTTGGCGTATGAAAAACAATAAAAAAAAAAAAACATTTTATCTATTTTTCCCTTCCTTGTGAAACTTGTATTATAGTATTTATTCATCTAAACCAGAATTGATAGATAATATAGACTTTTTTCGTACTGTATTTATAATTTACGAGACGCGATTGAGAACGGATAGAATTGTGTGTGTAGATAATTATTACACTTTTGCTTAATTTTACATAATATGTAGATCGGCATTTAATAATAATAATAATAATAACAATAATAATAATAACAATAATATATAATAATAATAATAATAATAATAATAATAATAAACAGCAATAGAACTTGATAAAAAAAAAAAAAAAAAAAAAAAAAGAGAGAACGATCGCAAATTACGAAATGCTTTTTATCAGAGAGAGTTCTAGCAGCTACCAACTATAAATATATTATCACCGATTCAATCAGTTGTAAATAGTAGACGTACTTCGGAACGAGTTGTCATGTGTAACAAAAAACAAAAAACAAAAAAAAACAAAAACAAGAGTTAGCGTAAGAAAAAAAAAACGATAAGCAATCTTTATCGATGTTAGATGCATGTGTTGATGTCTAACGATTTTTATTATCGGAAACGTGAAGTTTGTGTAGCAATGAAATTATATTAAGACTTAATAAGACTCGACATAAAAATCGTAATGTTTGTCATTTATAGCGATCTATATTGATAATCCATTCACACGACGCAGTAGTTTCTCTCTTATAAGGTTTCCTCTCGTTCGGAGGTTTAGGGACGTCTTGTTTTGTCCCGAGGCGTCTCACATTTTTTATCAGTGTTGTTCAACTATTGCGCTTTGTCGCACTCTCGTGTGTGTCCAATTCTAACTTCTTGAAAGACTTAATCTCACTTCCGTTATAACGTGGAAGAGAACAGCAATAAAATGTTTCATAGACATAGACCGGTATTCATTAGTCCGAGATCTCGTATCTAAGATCGCGAGGTCATTTTATGCGATGCTGTACGAACCGTTTTTGTTTTTTTTGTTTTTTGTTTTTTTTTTTTTTCACTGGCTACAGACCGTCTAAGGATGAACTTGCGACGATCTTAAATAAAAGATCTGCATGTACCGTGTCTATGTAGTGTGTTCAGCAGCGAAAGTAGATATTAAAAAAAGGAAGTGAGTAGTATATATATATATATTAGGAGGACCTAATACGCGGTTGGAGGACGACCTTATAAGGACATTCTACTGTAGGTAGTTTTGCTTTTATTGTATGTTGAAATTTTGACTCGAAGTTGTTCAAATTTTCACTAAGGGAATCAGCAAGTTAAACAGATCCGCAATTAATTCGTTTCTCCGTTTTTCCGCAACAAGTAAACGTGTAGATCTTTAACATCGTAAATAGTGTCGCGGGAACTAAGTTACATGTAAAGCTAAGATTACATTAAAAGAAGATACGCGGAAAGAAGAAATGAAAGAACGAGCATGCCTTATATACTGCCACTAAAAAAAAAAAAAAAAAAAAAATCTCACGCGGTCGAGAAACGAACTAATGGAGTCATATTTATGTGCAGAACAAGATCGGAAGTTCTTGAAGAACTGTGGAATTGTATGACAAACAAACTACCGAATCATGTATATACATATACACATATAAGCGCTGATCGCTGCATCAGTCCGGTTTGTAAAGCATTGACGATTTAATTTAACAATTTTAATTTCTCGTTACAATTGTGCATCTATTATGTGAGAAGAAAGTGTTTAATATATTTAAGTTTTATATTCTCATCTCTGCTGGCTTTCCTCATCATTTCTTCTCGGTATATATCGAAATTTATTTTCAATTGATCGATGTGATCAAAGGATTTCCAATAAAATGATGTTACGAAGGAGAGAGAGATGCTTTCGGTTCGATGCCGTATACTTTTACGCAGCAATAAATTTTTCTATATACATTTATATATATATACATATATATATATATATATATAGATTTTTATTATCGGTTTTATAAAAATTAAAAACACAACTTACAACCGAGCGTCTCTATTCTTAAGTCATCATCTCGGGGAAAAAGATTCCGATATTCTTAAATTCAATTTTGTGTTCTCAAACTCTCCGTTTACCTACAATTATGCGCCTGCGCGAAATTATAACGGACGCGCAATATTAGAACAGTATCGCTCGATAAAAAAAAATAACAACGTCGAAACGTGTCTTGTATTTTCACATTCTGCGCGTGTGTTTGAATCGCATTCGACGACAAATACACGCGGCAGGATAATATATATCGCGGTCGCACGCGCGAGCAGAGAATTTAAGATTAAGAATCCAAATTATCATTATTATATATTAAAAATATGTAATTTATTTATATAATATAAATTATATATAATTTATTTATATTAGACATTTATATACATTGGCTGGAGAAGACACTCACATGTTAAAGTCGAAACGTACGTTCCGTGAGATTTATATTAATTGTTATCTGTTTAATAAACACTTAAGCAATCAAGATCCTTCCCTTTTTTTTTTTTTGTTCGGTTCAAAGACCTTTCGTAATTTATTCTTATCGTAATTTTAAGAAAAACGGAAACATTGAGAATAGGTATGCTCGACTGTATCGGAGGGATATTGAAAATTCAATTGAGCCTATAGGATGTAGAACTCCGCCGGGGGGTTCATCCGTTGCTGAAATATGAAAAAAAAAAAAAAAATTCAAGGTTTTCTCTCAACTCTCCGGGCGTATATGTACATATATATGTAGCCACGTTTTTTGGCCTCTCGCTGTCTCTCGCACGTGAATTCGATCACGCGAGACACGATCGTGTCTCTTGCTACGTGCAAAAAAATATTCTCGTGTCTGTTTTTAACAAATTGAAATTTTGCGAATAAAACGTCTTGTGCGCAAAAAAAAAAAAAAAAACGGAATAAATAGAGATAAGAGTATGTTGCGCTGAATTTTTATACATATCGCACGATCGACTGTGTTTCGATTCTTAAGCTTGTCACATAACGCTAGCGTCGTTATCAATTTGACTCTTTGACGATAACCCGTACTACCTAACAATAATAATAATAATAATGCACTTTATAACGTTATAACGAACAATCGAATGTTGAACACTCTATTATATTTATAATTCTAACGAAAAGAAAGCAAGGATCGTAATGTTGTTAATATATTGTCGGCGGACGTGTATGTGTATTGGTGGCTTGTTGACAATATACCTTTTGTTTACAGAGAAAAAAAAACAATAATAAACGAAGAGAGACGTTGTTTTACGTGACTGTTGTGAATTTTTTTTTTTTGTTTTCAAACAAATTTTGACAAGCTACAAATCACCAATATTCTAGTCTTTCTCATCAGTACGACTTGTATAGACACGACCTCGTTATCTTGTGCGAAAAAAATACGGGAATTTAAATTCGCAGAACTAGCTTTTCAATCATCCTACTTGTATAAAAAAAAATATACACGATTAGTTTAGATGTAACATTAACCAAACAGATGGATTACGTTTCATAAGATCGCGTCAATTTTTAAATTGGTTTACCTATCCCCCCCTTCCCCCCCCCGCCCCCTTCCTTTGCGCACGCATGCACGGACGCGCACGTACGCGATGATGACATCACACATCTTCAACAAACTATAATCCGATTTCTGTGATAATCTTGCGAAGATGAAAAAGACTGACTAGAGAAATCTCGAATTTTTTTATCGTCACATGTATCTCCTATCATCACATTCTCCCCCCTTTCCTAAAAAAACAAAAAAAAATTATTCATCGAGAGACTGAAGAAGAAATTTTGATAACTACAATACAAAAAAAAACAAATACTTGCTTTGCTACTTTGAAATTTGACATTTTATTATCGCACGATGACTTGTCTACTATAATTAATATAATAGTAGGGAAATATACTAATAATAATAGGAGAATTGTGTGTGAGATCTCTCTTTTGTGAAGGCAGAAAGTAAAGCAAGCAAAAAGTGGATTATATTGAATTGACGCGGTCTCCAAGATCCAACACTTTATATGTTCCGACGTTACTTTTTGATTCGGTGAAAAGCGCGCGTATATACGTATTATTACTAAGATGAGTTAAAAAAAAATTACTGTCAAATTATTAATAAATTCCCTCCCTCTTTAGTCTAAATAAATGCAAAATAATGTAAGCACATTGTGTTAAAATAAATAACTCTGAGTCTGAAATGCACATGTAAGTAATGTATATATGTGTGTGTGTGTGTGTGTATGTGTGTGTGTGCGCGCGCACAAGTACACTCGTATGTTTTTATGTAAAGAAAAAAGATGTCAAATCCCTCAAACCTCTAAATTCATTTTTCTAACAAAACTCTATCTATTTAACTATTTCTATTTTGTTACTCCGGAGAGAAAGTATCTCTCTGTTGCATAAAAATCTTTCTCTACAAAAAAAATCTGTTTTTATAAACAATCGGATATAAAAAAATATCGCCAATCGAACTCTCTTACGCGTGTTTATTCTGTTGTAATATGTTTTACGTGCTTATTATTGGCCAACTTTTCGTGTCCTCTCAAGCACACTTTCGTGTATGATTGACGTTACGTACATACACTTCAAGTAAAATACCTACATGTTACTTCTTCCAGCGTGCCTCTGGAAACAAAAACGTCATCTGGTGTAATATAAAGAAATATAAAAACTCGCACATTTCTTCCTCCATCTGACCTAGTCCGGCCGAGACGATGACGTTTCTTTCTGTTTGTTTTTTTTTTCTTATTTACTGAATCGAAATTTTCTGTGTCTCGGAATAGAACTCGGAATGGAAAATGAATATAATTTAGAAGACGTTACAGAAATTTCTCAGTACATTTCGAGATATTCACGGGGTATATGCGATACAGTAAATTACAATAATTAACACCGTATAATTCGATATAATTCGCTGTGTTAGAGATTACATTTAAATATATTTTCTTGATATTGCGCTTTTTT